CCGAGAGGTGAGAGCGGGGGACGCTCCAGCCGGCCACTCCCGGGGGGTAGCGGGCGCTGGGCATCCTCCCCGGGCAGGGCGGGTCGCCGGGCAGCGCAGTAACTTGTGCAACTTCCTCTGTCGGCACACGCCGGCTGGGCTCGGGCGCGTGCGAGCCGGGGGCAGAAATTCGGGGCGCCCCCGGGCTTCTGCAGCGGCCCCCCGTGCACACCGCGGCCGCGCTGCCGGCCGGTCCTGCGGGCCTCCCAGCTGCAGCGCTGGGGCTCGAGCCCCGCGCGCCCGCCCGGCACGTGGTGGGCGGACCCCGGGCCCGATGCTGGGAACCCCCCGCTCCCGGATCGGGCCCGCAGCAGGGTCCCGGGGAGTCGCTTAGCCGGGCTCGGGCGAGGCGGGGACAAAGGGGGCGGCCGCCGGGTACCTCCCAGCCGGGGGCGGGGGAAAGCTGCGCGGTCTGTGGGGCACGGGGCCGAGGTGCGCTCCGGGCCATGGCTGTGCTGACGGGCCCCAGCTCGGCCGGCTTGTGAATCCGTTTGCGGCTGGAAGGTGGGGGGAGATGCCAGTGCTGGGGGATCCCGGGGTCTCCCCGGCCCGGCAGGCTGTGGGCACTAGGGGGCGCTCTCCATCCTGGCCTGGTGGTGGAGCCGGCTGGGGCTGGGGCCCCGGATCTGGGTGTATGTTCCTCCTTCCCCCACCGTTAACTGTCCCCCGTTAACTGTCGCTGCACGTGCAAGTGGCACAGTGGCTTGCCACCACCTGCTGATCCAGTGTGAACCCTGCACTCCCTGGCCTGGGAGTGCTTAGTGAGCAGCCTCCTGTGAGGTAGGAAAATGGGTATTGCCTTTCCCAGGTGGGGAAACTGCCACAGACAGGTGGCATGGCTCATCCAGGCAAGTCAGTAGCAGTGCTAGGCACAGGTGGCCCATCCGAGCTAAAAGTGACCCCATGGCCTGATTTAGTGATAACTGCTGCACTGGCTCTTTCATCTCACTCTGCTGTAATCATCCCCCGACCTGAAACTGCTCTAGCCTTGGCTTTCAACACCACTTCGATACTGTGGAGAGGGGCTCTTCGGGGGTGCTGTCGGACACCTCCTTATATTTAGGCTGGTTACAAGAGACCTTTCCTATAACAAGTATGGTTGGCTTGGCAGGGAGGAGTGTGAGGTGATTATAGCTTCCTGTGTCATGGGTGTCACCGCTGCCCTCTACTGGGTGCACTCAGAATGGCCTAGCTGTGTGTACTAGACCCTGTACAGCTAATAGTGACTCTCCTCTTGTTTGTGCTCTTGGGAGAGGAGGGCCTGTTCTGTGCCTGTTGGTGAGGAGTATGGGCATGACAGCACTAGCAAAACTGTGGGAAAGGACTGAGCTCTTCCTGGCTCCTCCCACTGCTGACTCCCATCCACCCCAGCACTTGAGTTGTACTTGTGCTCTGGCCCCGCCTGACAGTCCCAAGCTGGTATTCCAGTGGGGCCTGGGACTCTGAAATCCCAGCTGGGCTCTACGCCTTCAGCCTGAATTTCCTTGTTGCTCAGTGGGGTTTTATAGTGTCTCTTCAGAACATGAAAATCTCCCAAAAAGCAGCAGCAGAGGCTAAAACTGGACCAATTCCATTCCCCTGCACTGTCCTGTCTAAGCTAGAGCTTTGGGAGGTGTTAGCACATGTTGGTTAACACCTTCTAAGGCCCTGCCTTTCCATCCATTCCCTCTGAGTGGGGGATGGGTTGTCTGAGCCCCCAGAGTTCAAACTGAAACTCAAGTCTGCTTAACGGCCCACTGGCCATCTGTTCAATTCTTCTCTCCTCCCCCGCTGCCCCCAATTCCCCACCCGCATGCTGCAGCATTCCTGGAGGAAGCATTACTTAACTACCCACAACACTTGTACAGTGCCAGCATCTTCTACCAACAGTTTAACAAGGCCCTCCCTGAGAGGGGTGGGGATTGACCTCTAAGGAAAATGTTATTTGGGGGCCTAACTAGATCTGACGCTGTCCTCTTTTCCCACCTCTGCTCTGCTGTGAGGAGTGTGCTGTGGACAGAGTGGGCCAGCAGCAGTGCCACATGGATGGACTTTGCATTTTAAGTGGTGATGACCATCAAGCTTTAAAGCTTAAACCCCTACTGAAATAAAGCTCTCAATGCAGAGTGCTATTGTATTCCTCTGCTAGCTGCAAGGGCTGTGCTCCAGGGAAGGGGTGGTCCTGTTGGGTGGGTTAAGTGCAGTGCAATGCCCTGGGATGCTCTTTTCCAATGGGGGCAGATCCCAGCCCTCTGGCTATGGCTGCCAAATCATTGTTTTGTATTACCATTGCCTCTAGAAATCATGGAGCAGGAATCAGCTGCAGGTAGGCATGTTTCTAGTAACCCTGAAAAGGCACAATCCAGATGATGTCAGTCGCTCCCTGGTTCGGGACTTGCAGGCGTCTCCCCTTGTGCATTTTGACTTCTAATTGGTCAACCCCTGGTGCGGCTCTTGCTGGCTGGTGGCCATGTGAATGTGTGCCACTCAAGATGCTGAGGGCTGTTGTTAGTGACTGGGATTCCACTGCACCCTGCGGCCATCCAGCACAAAACTTCTGCCGGACAAGTGGTGCAATTAGAGATGGGAAGGGGCCACTCAACCCGAGGGTACCATTTCACTGGGGGGGAGGGGGGGATTGCAAATGGGTCTGGAACAATTACCCTTCCCATATTGCTAAATAGGGGAGGGAAACCAACTAGATCCAAGTACATGGGGTGGGGGATCCTTGCAGGGACATTATTAGAGGATTGCAGCCCTGCATTCCCAGGACAGGTCTGTTCTCTGCCCAGGGTGCTCTTGAGCAGTGTGGAGCCAAATATTCCTTTGTGGCAAAGAGGAATCTGAAGTGCTGTTGGGGCTGGAAGGTAGCTGGGGGCTACCACATCTCATGGGCTGGAGGAAGACTGTTACAGACATTCTGCTTAGCACGTTCTCCCTGCTGGGCAGAGAGGGGAGGAGTGCCCAGGGCTCAGGGGCGTCTGTCTCAGCACAAAGGCTGAGGATCCACCAAAGGTACCAGACCCAAATGCATTGAGCTGGACCACCTGCCCTGAGTGCCAGATCTCTGGCTAGATGCTCCTGTCTAAGGACTATGACCCTCCTAGCGGGATGAGCTCTGCTTAGGCAATTGGACAGAAGCTCAAGATGCTTCCTGAGATGTGGGATGGGGTCTCTGCCATGGCCACTGCTGAACAGGGCAGCCTTGCCAGGCAAATGTATCTGCACCAGCCTCTCTGCCATGGAAGAGTGGGAAGGGAACTGGAAGCAGGCAGAAGGGGGTCTGGGGGTGGAACATGGGCAGGGCCACCCCAAGCTGATTGGGGAGGCACAGCCTCCCCCGGCCTATGATACCTGCTGCCCATGCAGGGCAATTACTGGTTGATCCATCCCCTGTCGTCCTACGGAGACCCAGAGCATGGGGTTGCATCCCTGGCTATCATGGCAATAGCCGTTGATGGACCTATCCTCCAGGAACTTATGTAAGTTTTTAATTTTATTTTTTTTATACCCAGTTAAACTTTTGGCCTTCACAACATCCTGTGGCAATGAGTTCCACCAGTTAACTGTCTTGTATGAAGAAGTACTTCCTTATGTTTTAAACCTGCCTATTAATTTCATTTGGTGACTCTGGGTTCTTGTTATGTGAAGGGATAAATAACACTGCCTTATTTTTTCTCCACAGCAGTCATGATTTTATAGACCTCTCTCATATCTCCCCTTAGTCATCTCTTTTCCAAGCTGAACTGTCCCAGTCTCTTTAATCTCCCATCATATGGAAACTGCTCCAGACCCCGATCATTTTTGTTGCTGTTCTCTGTACCTTTTCCAATAGGTCTTTTTTGAGATGGGGCGACCAGATGTGCACATAGTATTCAAGGCGTAGGCGTACCTTGGATTTATAGTGTGGTGTTGTGATATTTACTGTCCTATTATCTATCCCTTCCCTAAGGGTTATGAACACTCTTAGCTTTTTTGACTGCTGCTGCACATTCTGTCCTAGGGGACACACCCATAATCAAATCCACATCATGACAAGCATCATCCAGCACTCTGGTTGCCAGTTTCAGCCTAGGTTGCCATGGCCTGTGAACTCCCTCCTGGCCTCTCCCCAAGGCCAACCTAAAGACAGGCTGGCAGAGATGGTGGGTGACTGGGCGCTTGCCCTGCTGTTAGAACAGTTCTATGGCTAAAGAACTCCAGTCTCCGGGGGCAGCAGCTTGGTGGCTTTTGCTAGCACTAAACTCTGCAAGGAATGCAGACTGGCCCAGCATCCAAACCTGAAGGAAGTGACATGGCTGCAGGCAGGGGATTGGGATGGAGAGGTGGGTGGCTGGGCTGAAAGGGAATACGCACATGCGAGCACCTGGCTGGGATGGGACTGGAACAGAGCATATGTGAGCACAGCTGGGTTTAGCTCCCATGAGGTGGTGGAACCCAGGGTGGCTGCATTCAGAGTTATGGTGAGATCTGCCCATCAGGCACTGTCCCTCCACTTGTGCTGGCTCCCTGCACAGGGGTCTCCAGCGGTGCAGGGCCTGGTGCTGATCCTTAACCCAGGGTGGAATGGCCCTGGTCTGCAGGAGGGGATGGCAAATCTCGAATGCCACTGAAATAGCCTGGGGAATGCCATGGACACCAAACCTGGCAGGCTGGTGATCCAACAACCCCTGCCAGCTGGCTCTGCCTGAGCTGCTCACAGGATCTGGTTCCAGAGGTGCTCTCCTCATTCCCTTCATGGGCTGGCACTTCACTGGCAATGGGGTGGCCCTCGGGTCCCGATTCAGGCTGTGCCGTGAGTGCTGGCTCCCATGTGGGAATGCAGGCTGCAGGGCAGTCCATGGCATGGTGCTTGTCTGTGGTGGTCTCCCAGTGCCTCTAACAGAGGGCAAGTCCGAGGGGCTGACAGGATCAGGGGAGGGGCACTGGGATCTGGCTCTTGTAGTAAGAACTCCTGTTTCTTTTCCAGGACCCAGAAGGAGATGAGCTCTCTGGTTTATCCCAGCCTGGGCATGAAGGACCGCAAAGCAGTGACCATCCTGCACTACCCTGGGGTGGGCATGAATGTCAGCAAGGCCAGCACAGGACCCCACATCACCAGTGCGGGCATGATGGCCCCCTCTGCGACCCCCCTGCCCTCAAAGCAGCCCTCCTTCACCCTGCCAACAGCCCCTCACCTGCTGGCCAGCATGCAGCTGCAGAAACTCAACAGCCAGTACCATGCCATGGGGGTCTCTGGGCACCCAGCGGAGGCTGGGTCCATCCAGAGCTGGGGCTTTGGAGCCCAGCCCCTGGGCCAAGGGGCACTGGCTCCCCCTGCCAGCACCCACAGCCCTAGCATTATTGATTCCGATCCAGTGGATGAGGAGGTGCTGATGTCACTGGTGGTGGAACTGGGCCTGGATAGAGCTAACGAGCTGCCAGAGCTGTGGCTGGGCCAGAACGAGTTTGACTTTGCTGCAGATTTCCCTTCCAGTCGCTGATGCCAGACTGACCTTGACCACAGGCAACCCTGGCAGAGGACTTGAACTGGACAGCTGTCAAGGGCAGGCTAGCATGATGGACCTGCCCCTCCAGCCAACTGAGAGGCCTCTGGTCCTGGTTCCTACTGCAGCGGAGTCCCCCTCTGCAAGGCTGCACCCGTGCCATTCAGGACAGTTCGGTGAAGCTGGAGAAACTACAGCACAGCTGGTGCTCCGTGGGGTGTTTTTTGGGCTGCGTGACCTAGTGCCTGGTGGGGTTGCACCTTGCTGTGGAGGGCTAGCATCTCCTGCTGGAGGTGGGATTTAGCCCCCAGGGCACCATTCCCCAAACTGGTGCTGGAGAAGGAGGCGGACTGGCAGGTGAATGTGGCAGGGCAGAAGCTGAAGACACAGGAATGTCGGCTCAAGCAAAACATACACCCCTGCTGTGGCCTGGGAAAGGGCTGCCCCCAAAGGGGTCCCTCACAGCTCCCAGGGACCAGAGCTGTCTGCCATCCCTGCAGGGGGCCAGTGACTCACAGGGGAGACAGCTGGGGGCTAAGCACAGTACCTGGGGTGCTGGGACTGGGGGGAGACAAGGTCTGTTTTTGCAACAGCATGGGGCTGCTCCTGTGTGGCTTTTCAATAAAACCGGTGGAAGGAATCAGCCTGCTGGGGCCTGGCTCCTATCACCCCTTGTGCTGATTTACAGTCATGCCTGGGGTTGCCAACTTTCTGATTGCAGAAAACCAAACATGCTTGTCCTGGGCCTTTCTCCAAGGCCTGACCCTGCTCACTCCTCTCCCATACCTCTGTCACTAGCTCTCTCCCACCCTTGCTCGCTCACTCATTTTCACCAGACTGGGGCAGGGGGTTAGGGTGAGGGCTCCAGCTGGGGGTGTGGGCTCAGGAGTGGAGCCAGGGATAAGGAGTTTGGGGTGCAGCAGGGGGCTGGGGCTAAGGGGCTTGGAGTGTGGGTGGGGGCTCTGGGCTGGGGGTGAGGTCTCCAGCCCACACCCCCCCCGCTGTAGGGTGGAGCCAGAAATGAGGAGTTCAGAGTGTGGGCAGGAGGTTGGGGTGCAGGAGGGGTCAGGACTCAGGGTGGGGGTGCAGGCTTTCAGGTAGGGCTGGTGATGAGGGGTTTGGGGTACAGGAGGGGGCTCCAGGCTGGGGTGGAGTACAGGGGGGATGGCACACAGGCTGCTGGGGGCATGACCCATGGTTCTTTGCAGTGCAGTAAAGCTGAGCAACTCTGATTTTTCCCAGCCAATCACAGGGGAATGGTAGGAAGGCTGGACGGGTACATACCCTGGCTGCTGCCATGTGGACAGGGCCATGTAGACACACCCTGTCACTGCACTATTGCAGAAAACCAGTGTGGACATGATAGCTCACATGTTATTTTGCAGCATGGTTGCTCTTGCTCCACCTAGGCTAACATGAGAAGAGTGACTCAGGCACAGGTAGCTTGAGTTAGCTCTGCAGTGAAGAGGCATCCAAATGCAACTGCCCATGCTTTGTACATGTACCTGCCCCTTAGCACCAATCACCTCACCGTCTAGGCCCAGCCCTACAAATGCTGGGATGTAGGAGAAGCTGTTGAGGACACATTTCATGGTCTTGGCCCCACCCAGTGGCCACAAGGAAAACTGCATGAGCATGTCCATATGTGGCTAGTACACCCAGCAGGATGGCAGCAGTATCTCAGGGGGACGCTTGGTTAAATGGACAGACGAGCCTGGCAGTCTGAGCAGCACCTGTGCAGTGGCAGTGATGGGCCAGGCTTGGAGATATTACAGTGACCCAGCAGTCAGGGATCACAGATTGGGTAGGGAGAGGGGGCAGCAGGTGCTGGCAAAGAAGGTGGGGATGAGGGGGTCAGTGCAATGGCCCTGGACTTGCCCTGGGTCCAAACCAGGCACCTGTGAAATGAGTTTGGCAACCTGGGCTTAGACAAGAGCAGGTGCTCCCTTAGCAAATCCCCTGCACAGCTCCTGTGGGTGCCACTACTGGCTGTGGCTGCTATTAGCCATCAGTCTCTTGCCTAAACCTCCTCCCTCTCATCACCCTTAGGAGACTGCCTCCTCCCCAAAGCACTGTGGGAACTGGCTGAAAGCTGGGCTGGTGGGGAGGGGCTCTAGGGTGGAGCATCTTGCTGGAGCCAACCCCTCCCTCTTGAGAGGCCCTGGGAGATGAGTTGCTGCATCAATGGAGAACCAGCTTTGAGGAGCAGAAAGGGAGTGTGAGATCAGGGGTCCACTTCAGAACCGTAATGAGGTGCTGAGATCTGCAAGGCAGCCTGGGGGATTTGGATGTTTCAATAACTGGATGTTACGTGTCTAAAGCCCCTAGACTGCCTGGGAAATTTCAGCCCCCTTTTTTAGCACTTGAAGAGAGACTGGTACAATGGCCCCACACACTAGGGGTGCTGAAGATTTTAGAATTCAGCTTGTAAAATCCCAGCAGAAAGATGAGAAATGCCCCAAAAGGGACACCAGCAAGAGTAAAACCATATAAGTAATAACTGAAGTGCCTCCCCTGAGTTGTTCCCCCCACTGGAGATGATTAAAATGGGAATATTTAGCACCTTAGATGTCAGAGTGCCATGCAAACAGGAGTGAATTCTTCCTCAGAAGGTCCCTGTAAAGTAGGTGAGTTTATCACCCTGTGTTACAGATGGGGAAACTGAGGCACAGTGAGGGGGCAGCAACTTGTTGAAGGTCACACAGGACATAAGCAACAGTTAGGATTTGGGCCCGTCAGCTTCAGACTCTTAACTGAGTGCCCTGTCATTCTGCAGGTGCCTTAAACACCAAATGAGCTTCTGGTTGGTTTCTACTGTTTCCTTTTTTCCCTGCCCTCAATGCTTTCTCTCTTCAGACCTCACTTTAACACCTCAAAGGGGGGACTGCAGAGCAATGGCTGCCTGCCCGGTCCTGCACTGTTGGTAGTTTTGTCACTGACATCAACATGCTTCGGACTGGACGCATTGTGTAGTATCACACCCAGCTTGGAGAGTGAAAGAAGCATGGTGTGTTTCATTTGGTTCTCATGTGCAAGGACAAGTGTGAGCCCTAGCCCAGAGCTCGAGGACTGCCCCTGATTTGTATCAAATACAGCAGGTTGGCCACCCCAGAGGCTCTCAAGGGCAGCTCTGTACTGAAGGGTAAGAGTGAACACGACAGCATGGGGCTCCCTGCTTACGGAGACTCCAGCTCCAATGTTCTTTCCGCAGCCAGCTCCGAGGCTCTGGCCGAGAGCTGGGGCTGTCTGGCTTGCAGGGGGACCAACTCTCACAATTTGCCCATGAGTGTCACGCCAGTGGAGGTTTTGCCATAGGTGGTGGGCGGAAACATTCTAGGGGCTGGGGAGGGGGATGAGTAAAATGTAAAGCCAGCTGTGGGGATGTTATGGCACAGGCTGGCCACCTGAGTCCAAACCCGCCCAAGCCCTGTGCCTGTGGTATGGAAGAAGCAGGAGACGCTAAACTCGCTAGTGAAGGTGTCCGCCCTGGTACTCCTAGCTATGTGCGGGGCGTGAGATGCAGCCTGGCCCCTGGAGGCTGAGGAACTGCCCTGTTACCCACATGGGAAGGAGGGCTCTGCTCATGGAAGGCAGCTCTCTATGGGGGCAGGCGGAGCAACAAGGTTACCAGCTTTGTGGGGTGGAGGGGGTGTACAGGTCCTGCTTTCTGGGCATGGGGTGTCAGGCCCTGCTCTCCGGTGTGTGTGTGTGTTTCTCTCCTGGCCCAGTGGAGAGCAGAGACCCTGGGTGGGGGGTGTTTGGCGAGTCACCGCCCCAGCAGTGGCTCCTGTCCCTCAGGGCTGGGCCCTGCTCTGGCCTGTGGGCTCTTGCCACTCGCAGATTCAGAGCCCACCACAGTGGCTTGTGCCATGCACATCCCCACACAGGTGGGGCCCTCCTGCAATGCCCTGCCCTGCCCCTTTCCTGGACCTGGCACCACTGGACATGGCATTTTACCTGCTGAGCTGGGCATGGACATGGGATGGCTCAGAAAGTGACAAGACAGAGAGATTGAGGGGGGAGACTGAGCCCCCTTTAGCCCTAATCACTTGCTGCCCAAGTGTTTTACATAAAGCCACAGGCCCTGGAGTCATGGGATTACGTAAGACTCCACTTTAGAGAGGAGCCCAGCACTCCTGGGTGCTAAGACAAGTTTGAACAAGGGGACTTGAGCACACCCTCAAGGCACCCAGACCCCAAGTCATATATAAACTCACCTGATGATTTTTTAAGCCAATGATCATTTGCAGGGCCTGGCTCAGGATCTTTGGCCGCTGGGGCTGGGGCTGCTGCTCACATGCCATCACAACCACTGTAGTCAGACACCAGAGACTAACCCTGCCCTCTGTGCTACTCAGGTGCTTCTAATTGGGTTTATGGGATAGCAAAGGAGCCCCTCTCTTGGGTCTAGAAACATATCAGAAGGCTGTAGGTGGGTAAGGTGGTGGGGGGAAGAGGGCAGCATCCCTGCCCTGCTCTGCAATGGACAGCTCTACCCTCCTGCTTGTTACTATTTGTGGCTAGTGACTCTGATCAGAACCCCATTGTGCTAGGTGCTGCACATCTATAATAACCCTCCCCATCCCACATAGGGATGCCAACTTTCTATTTGCAGAAAACCAAACACCATTGCCCCATCTCCTGCCCTGAGGCCCTGCCCCTGCCCCACACCTTCTCTGGGGCCTTGACCCCACTCACTCCATTCCCCCCTTCCTCCATTGCTCGCTTTGCCCCACCCCCGCTCACACTCATTTTCACTGGGCTGGGACGGGGATGTGGAAGGGGTGGAGGGCTCTGGCTGGGGGCGCAGGCTCCAGTGTGGGGCCAGAAGTGAGCGGTTCAGGGTGAAGGAGGGGGCTCTGGGAGGGAGCTTGGGTGCAGGATGGGGCAGAGGGTTGGGGCATGGGAGGGGGTGAGGGCTCTGGCTGGGGATGTGGGCTCTGGGGTGGGGCCAGGGATGAGGAGTTTGGGGTCCCAGCAGGGGCTCTGGGCTGGGGTTGAGGAGTTTGGTGTGCGGGAGGGGTCTCAGGCTGGGGCAGGGGGTTGGGGCACAGGAGGGGGTTCAGGAAGTGGGCTCCAGGCAGCACTGACCTCAGGTGGCTCCCAGGAAGTGACTGGCATCTCCCTCTGGCTCCTAGGTGGAGACGCAGCCAGGAAGCTCCGCGCGCTGCCCCTGCCTGCAGGTGCCACATCTGCCGCTCCCATTCGTCGCTGTTCCTGGCCAATGGGAGCTGCTGAGCTAGCGCTCGGGGTGGGGACACCACGCGGAGCCCCCGGGCCTGCCCCTATACCTAGGAGCCAGAGGGAGATGCTGGCCACTTCCTGGAAGCCACGCGGAGCCGGGCAGGCACCCTGCCCGCCCCCGCTGTGGGTGGCCAACCTGACTTTCAGTGGCCTGGTCAGTGATGCTGACCAGAGCTGCCAGAGTCCCTTTTTGACCGGGTGTTCCAGTCAAAAACCGAATGCCTGGCAACCCTAATCCCAAAGAGTTTACAGCTGCAGCCTATGGAGAGCTAACACAGGAGGGAGATGGGAAGGACAAGCCCCAGTTTCAGAATGCCAGCTGCCATCAGATACAGGCCTTAAGGGGCTTGAAGGGGGGCAGGGTATTTAATGGTTTTACAGATGGGGGCTTTGCTCTTGAGCAGAGGCTGGCAGCTCACCCCCTTTGGTGGGAGCCCCTCTAA